GATCCAACATGCCTTGAAATGTCTGAATGCTTCCCTGTTTTCAGTGCGCTGTTTCTCTATAAATAGATACAGTCCTTTGGGGAATTGTTGGAAGAGTATGCAGATTATGTGTTTATGCCAGAACTGGAGAACTACTCAGCTTCCCCTTCAGATGATGAGCTCTGGGTCTGAAGGAACTTGCTTAGATCTATAAGTGAGTAAAGGGTTGCAATTTTCCATTGAGACAGTTAGCATTGGCTTTCTGCTCACCAGCTGTCCACTTTGCAGTTATAGATGCGGGTCAAATAGCACCCGGAGTGAATGCACATTTAACTTACCCCAGGGAACACTGGGTCTATCAGTCATCACAGGTCCTGTGGGTGAAGCATTCAGGGTGCTACTCCAGCCTCGAAGCTCATTACTGCAATTACGGACATGCTATCTCTGTCTGCCTAGTGCTGCCATCTGTCCTCTACTATTTTGGATTCTTCTCATTCCAACTCTTTTAAAAAATATAGTTCTGCCCAGCATGGTGGCTCACGCCTTTAATCCCAGTATTTGGGAGGCAGAAGCAGGAGTATTTCGGTCTACATAGTGAGTTCCAGGTCAGCTGGGGCTACAGGGAGACCCTGTCTCAAAAAGACCAAAAAAAAAAAAAAAATCAAACAACAAAAACCCTATATTGCCAATTTTGTCTACTTTTATATTCTACGTTCCTTGATTTAATAATTTCAAGATTCACTCCCATGCCTAGGGCCTTTGTTCCTTCAGATGTCACTGTTCTTTGTCTCATCTAAGGTATATAGAGGGCCTCCAGGCAAGGGGAGGCTGTTCTCTTCAAGCAAAGCAAAGTTCAGAAGAATATGGGATTGTAAATAGGCTAAATGCTACCGTGACAGGCTCAGGAGTCCATTTTTTCTCTACCAAGGTCTTGACTTTACCATAGAAGATTTCTCCTGACTGTGCATTCAGTCTCCTTTGTAGTTCTGCTGTCTTGTGGTTCAATGCTGTGTCTGATTGTCAGCCTAGTTTGCTGGATGCAGAACCCAACAGGTATCTGTTTATTTTTTTTATTTTTGTCAACTTAACATTACTTAGAATCACCTGGAAGAGAGTTTCAATGAAGAATTGGGTTGGGTTTGGGTTGACCTCTAGGCATGTCTGTGGGGGATCGTCTTAATTAAGTTAACTGATGTGGAATAACCCAGCTTACTTTGGGCAGCACCACTCCCTAGGCAGGGAGAAATCAAGCTGAGCATGAGCAAGCAGGCAGCATGCACACATGTATTTCTTTCTGCTCTTGACTTTGAATGTGATGTGACTAGCTGCTTTGAGTTCCTGCCATCCTGACTTCCCTTCAATGATAGGCTACAAATCCCTTTCTCCCATATGTTGCTTTTTATCAGAATATTTTTATCACAGCAACAGAAAAGAAACTAAGACAAAGGCTTTCTGGTTTTCATACTTGCTTAGAACTGAAAGTTGGTTACTTGAGACTGTCTTTTCTCTCTCCTTTTTTTTTTTTTTTTTTTTTTTTTTTTCCGGTCTTTTTGAGATGGGGTCTCCCTGTAGCCCTAGCTGACCTGGCACTTGCTATGTAGACCAGGCTGACCTTGAATTCACAGTGATCTGACTGTCTCTCTCTGCCTCCCAAGCGCTGGAATTAAAGATGTGCACCACCATACCCAGCCTCCTTTTTTTTTTTTTTTCTTTTTCTTTCTACGATTTTATCTTTATGTGTGTCTGTGTGAGTGTATAGTATACTATATATGTACTGATGCCAGTGGAGGCCAGAATAGGAGGGCTGGGATCCCTTGGAGCTGTAGTTACAGGTAGTTGTGAACCACCTGACATGGGTGCTGGGAACTGAACTAAGATCCTCTGGAAAAACAGCAGGTACTCTTAATCATGAGCCCCCTCTTTCTTCTTTGAAAAAAAAAAATCTGAGCTGGACGTGGTGGCACACGCCTTTAATCAGCACTCAGGAGGCAGAGGCAGGCAGATCTCTGTGAGTTAAAGGCCAGCCTGGTCTACATAGGGAGTTCCAGGACAGCTGGGGCTATAGGGAGACCCTGTCTCAAAAAAAACCAAAAAAAAAAAAAAAAAATCTGAATGTTCCCTTGTCAAAAGTGAGCCAATTCATAGGTCTTAAAATTGCCTTGCCTTCAACCTGTTCAAGGGCTTCTTCCACCTATACCTTATCCCAGTTGTTTACCAGTGAAAGTTTTAGTGTTGGATTGAGGCGATGGTTACTCCCACATACATTTTCTACCAGCTGTGGAAGAGGTGAGATGTTAGTACTAGACCCCTTCCTGGAGGGTCTGCTTTCTAGTCTACTAATACCAGATGTCTTCAGTTCCCCTGAAAACAGAGTCTGAGATGGGTTTTCAAGAGCTGATTTACTTTGGAAAATGATTCCAGGGAACAGCAGTAGGAATATAAGAGAGAATGGTAAATGGAAGACTAGAAAGCCAGCCCAATGGATGATTTTCACTGGGTACCTGGAGCTTGGTCTTGCTGGGAACCTTTGAAGAGCTGTGCAAGTTGTGCCTCAGAACTGTCAGAATTGTGTAGCACAGAAGAGAACATAATTAATTGACTGGTTCTATGCTGCAGTTACAAAAAGTGGAACCATGCCAGCTCCCTCACACTTCCCACTCAATGCCTGTACTAAAAATAAGTAGATAAACCTCTGCAGGAACTCCATGTTGTGGTGGCAAAGAACAAGGTTCGGTGAAAAATGCAAGAGAGACTCCAAGCACTTGAGGCAAAGCAGTGTCAGCGCACAGCTTGCCATGGCACCAAAAGCATGGGAAAAAGAAGAGACTCAGAAGAAAGACCAAAAAGAAGTCAGACACACGTATATTCCTCACTGTATTAATCAGACTCCACCTGGTTTCTGCTCTCTGTGCCTGCCACCTAGCCTAGATGCTAAGCACTTTAAAAATAGGAACATGTGATAAACTGGCATCATAAGCACTGAAAAGAACCCAACACTTCTGTGGTGTTCCTGCCAAAAGCCACATCCCAAATCCAGTCATGAAGAAACGTCTGAGAAACAAATTAAGGGATGTTCTACAAAATTCACACCTTGTACTCCCACCCAAAATGTGAATGTTCTGAAAGACAAAGTCTGAGGCTTTAGTCCAAGCTAAATAAAAATCAAATGCAATATCTGAGTCACGATTTGATTTTGTTTTCTTGAAACAAACATTATTGGGACAATTGGCAAAGTTTGAATCTGATCTGTAGATTAAACAGTATTTTTTGCATTGATGTTTATTTCCAGGTTTACCTTCATTGTACTGTGGGTAGGTAAAAGAAAGTCCTTATTTTTAGGAGAATACATAATAATATTTTAGGGATAAGGGAGTGTCATGTCTGAAACTCTCAAAGAGAAAGTCATAATAAAATATTAGAATTTGAGGAAACTGAAGAAATATGAAGATGTGAAGGATATTTGACAATTCTTTGTATGGTTACTGCAACAAAGGTCTAAAATTATGGCCAAATGAAAGTTTTTAATTTTTAACAGAAATATGTATGTATTAGTGTGAATATCCATACACATATCAATCTGTCATCAAAAAGATTATTAGGCAATGAAAAGGTTAAAAATCACACATACTCTGGAATTTACTACAGTGTTTACATTTGGAAAGAGACTGAAAATAAATGAAGAAAAGATAGAAATATTCACATAAGTCAAAGTTTCTTAAACTATGGATTGTGACCTCATGTGGGCTCACATAACTGAATGCGAGGGCTGTGAACAATTTGGCAAGAGTAAAAGGTTTCTGAACACACACTGGCCAACAATTCAAAGTCAGCAGTGGTATGGCCCTAAATACACAGCATGCACACTGGTCCTGTACAGACCTTCACACCGTGCAGGGCAGTGACTGCCACCTGAAGCAGCTTAGCTTACATGAAAACTATGATGGCATCAATTGCTGTGCTTTGACCGCGTGTGCAAAGTTTTCTGATCTTAGAGAGACTGTATGCTCTAAGCCAGGCATGGTGGCACACACCTTTAGTCCCAGCACTCAGGAGACTAAGGCAAGCAGATCTCTGTGAGTTCAATGCCAGCCTGATTTACATACTGAGTTCCAGGCCAGCTGGGGTTACAGAGAGACCCTGTCTTAAAAAGACCAAAAAATAAAAAATAATAATAAAATAAAAAAAGACATTGTATATTCTAATTGCAGAAAACAAAACTTTTAATATTTTCCTACCTATATTCCTCAGCATGTAAGTGTCAAATTAGCATGTATTTGGGTTGTATTTTGTTGCACAAACAAGCACACTAATCTCATTAGTATGGAAATTATATGCATACCAAAGAATTGGTTTCTTTGTTTGTTTGTTTGCTTGCTTGCTTGCTTGAGATAGGGTCTCCCTATGTACACCAGGCTAGCCTGGAACTCACAGAGATCCACCTACATCTGTCTCCTGAGTGCTGAGATCAAAGGTGTGCACCACCTCACCCAGCAAAAAAAATGTTTTAAAATAAATTTCTTGGGCTGGAGAGATGGCTCAGTGGTTAAGAACACTGGCTGTTCTTGCAGAAGACCCAGGTTCAAATCCTAGCACCCACATGGCAGCTAACAGGTGTCCATAACTTCAGTTCCAGGGGATCCAACGCCCTCTTCTGTCCTCCGTGGGCATTGCATAACACGAGTGTTCTTAAATACATGCAGGCAATACACACATGCACATAAACTAAAATTTTAAAAATTTCTCTATGATTTATTATCAGCATGAGTTTGATTTGTACACCTATTTTATATGCCTATATTCCCAGGGTCACGTAAGAATTTCTCAGGTGTAAAAGGGGTTACAAATGAAAAAATGTGAGCAAGTCTGGTTTAAGTAAAGGTAATAGAGCTAAAATTCTCTGGGAATAGACTTAATAATAAATGTCATTAAATGAAAGAAAAAAAATACAAAGATGACATCTTTTTTGACTGTATGTTCAAAGCCCTTAATAAGTCACCTAACATCTATTTGTTGTTCCATAGAAAAGCCTTAATGCTGCCATGTGGAGAGAGTTGACCTGAGAAAGGAAGCTCACATTCAGAAAACAGCAGGTAAGAGTTGGAAGATACAAGAGCCGGGAAAAGTCAGCCCTGGACTCACTGACACTTGAAAATGGATAATCCCTCAACTTCCTTTTACATAATCCAGGGAATTCTTTTTTTAGCCTGGACTAATTTGAGTCAAGTTCCTGAGCTTGCTACAGAACCTATCGCCACCAACACACACAAAAACTGAAACCAGTGGTTTGTCACCCTCAGGATCTACACCATGTTGGAGATGTAGTCATCGGATTTAAACGAAGCTTAAATAGAATCTTTGCTTAGTCCTCACATGGCTCTCCCCACTGCTAGTGATTTTCTCTTTGCACATGACTGCTGCCTTTTGTTTCTTTCACAGCTGCACTCATGATCTGGGCCAATCCCAGCCTTTCAGTTTGACACATGTGGCATCATCGTTTTGTGTCTTCTTTCTTATATAACCTCTCATAAGCTGCTTTCTGCTGTTGACATTCAGTCAACCCATTCTCTATAATTCTCATGGTTTTGAGCCTCAAGGCTACAATAAACCATATTGTTGTATAGTATTTTTTGAGAAGTGGTGAGTTTTAAAAGAATATGAATCGCTGAGATTACAGTTCATGAATGTTAAGAAAAACAGTGAAGATGCAAGTAGATTGCAGCTTTGTGTGATGGGAAAAGGCAGACTCCATGGATACCAATGTAAATCGAGCATCTTTTCTTATATGAAAAATCCATTATATATGACCTTGTTGCTAATCTAATTCTAGTTCAACTGCATGTGTTAAAATTTTCAGAAGTCTATATGAAATTTAAAAACATGTACATTGTTTCTGGGAAGTTATCTGCAATATAAAATAATCCAGCCATGAAAAAAATACAGTTCAGAGAAAAAGATATATAAATGATTTACAAATGATAAGGTACTGGATCTCTGTCAGGATTAAAGAAATGCATATTAAAATAACAATGCTATGCTATTTCTTATTACAGATTGGCAAAGGCAAGAACAAACCCTTTCCAACACATGGTGCTAGTAAAAATACAGGTTAGCACAAGCTCTTTCTTTGGTTGGCATTTCTATAGTCTTTGTCTAAATTTCAAACACATGTATTCTCTGACCTGGAAATTTTATTTCTAGAAATTTACAGATTCATCACAGAAGCATAAAAGAGCCTATCTTACGAAGTTATTTGTTGTGGCAGCTTGTCATAGTGAAAATCTAAAATCACTCTAATTGTGTTTCAATAGAGAAACAGTTTAATACAGTACATTCATGTCACAAAAGAATTGCCTGGCAGGGACAGATTGTTAAGTGCAAAAAGCTAGTTAAGATTGTGTGTATATGAACTGGAAATATGGCTCAGTGGTTAAGAGGACTGACTGTACTTGCAGAGGATCCAGGTTCAGTTCCCAGCACCACATAGTGCTTAACATTCTTGTGTAACTACAGTTCTAGGGGATCTTACACCCTCTTCTGGCCTCCATGGGTGTTGCATGCATGGCACACTTACATACATGTGGGCAAACACTCATACACATAAAAAATTAAATAAATAATTAAAAAAATTGTGTGTGTGTTATGATAAACTCATTTGTGTAAAAAATAATGTCCATAATTGTTTTTAGAATGACAGGTGAAATGCTGGTTACTTCTGAAAAATGGACATTTTTTTTTTTTTAAAGACAAGGTCACACTCTATAGCTCAGGAATTCACTATATAACTCAAGTTGGCCTCAAACTTATGGCAACCCTCCTGTCTCAGCCTCTCCAGTGATAGGATTACAAGTATGTCTTAGTTGCCTTGTCTAGTTTTGTGATAAACACAAAACAACTTGTGTATGTGTGTGTGTCGGTGGGGGCGTGTATTTCAGCTTACAGGTTACAGTCCATCATCAAGAAAAGCCAAAACAGGAATTCAAGGCAAGAATCTGGAGGCAAGAACTGAAGCCAAGAGGAAAGAGGAATGGAGGAACACTGTTTACTGGCTTGCTCCTGCTGGCTTGCTCAGCTACTTATACAGCTCAGGTCCATGGACTTAGAGAGGGCACCACCCCATCAGTTAACAATCACAGACATTCCACAGTCCAATTTGATGGAGTAAATTCCTTAATTGAGGTTCCCTCTCCCTAGGTATGTCAAGTTGATAACTGTCCTTAACTATGGCAAGATGGGAGCCATCATACCTGGGTGGGGGGTGGAGTTTAAATGAGAAGAAATTTTCTTTCTTTTTGACTTTTTCTTTGTATTTCTTACTTATTGGTATTTATACAAACACTACTTTTATAACAAAATATGTTTTCAATTCAGTCACAATCTACTATATAATCCTTACTAAATTAGAAAATACCATTAGGGCTGAGGAGATGACTCCATCTATGAAGTCCTTGCTATACAAGTCTGAGGTCCTGAGTTTGGAGTCCCCAAAACCCTATAAGATGCTGGGCCTGGCAGTACACATCTGTGATCCCAGCACTAGGAAGATGGAGACATGTGGCTCCTTGGAGCTTGCTGACCAGCCAGCATAACCAAATCAGTGGGTATACAGTATCTCAAAAAATTAGAGGGAGGGATGGAGAGATGGCTCAGTGGTTAAAAGCAAGTGCTGCTCCTACAGAGGACCTTAGTTTAATTCCCAGCACCCATGTCAGGTAGCTCACAACCATCTGTAACTCCAGCTCAAGGGGATCCAATGCCTCTATGGGCACTGACATTCATATGCACATACCACCCCACATAAGTAAAAATAATAAAAAAATTTAATGGTGGAGAGTGATTGAGAAAGACACCTGACATTGACCTCTGGTCTCCATACACATGCACACCAACATGCACATGTGTACGCACATGCAAACATCTACACACTCATACCACATACACATACAAACACAAAAGAAAATACAATTAAGTTCTTGTATAACATTAGTCAGTAATGAAAACTTACAAACTACTGTTTCAGTAGGTTCTATTTTAGAATGCTAAAAACTTGAAGTAAGAGCAACATACCTAATAATACGTAAAAGTACAATTTAAAGGTGAGACATGAGCAGGCATGATAGTTCATGCCTGTAATCCCAACATTCAAGAGACTGAGGCAGGATCACTGTGATTTTAGGCCAGCCTGGGCTATTTGAGGAGTTCGAGCCTGGCCTGCACAGTGAAATTGTCTCAAGAAAAAAAGGAAAGGTTAGTCACTTTTTAATTTGTTCAGGTGCCATGAGTAGTAATAGAACTGAGTGTTAAAATTATATTTTATATCAAAGCAAAGTTTATTGTATGAACTTGTATTTTTAACAGTCAATAGTGAGTCTATTTGCATATCTTGTCTTCAAGGCCCCACTTAATCCTATCGTTCTACTATTGTCATCTTGGCTAAGTCAGTAGGTACTATTTTATAAGACAAGTATATGAAATTTTCTCCAGTTCTTATCCTGGCCCTGGAAGAAGCCAGGACATTTGGAGGCACAATTTTTCCTAAGCAAGCTGGGGAGATACACAACTGAAATCACATAGCAAGATCAGGAGGACTCCCTGATACTACGTTTGCTACACCTTCAGAGACACGCATCATGTATTATGGCTGAATGTCCTCTGGTTTGTAAGTAGAGAAATAGGAGGGTATGAACAGATCAGGAATGAACGACAGGGGAAAGAGTCTTTAGCAACTTGAAGGAAAAGATATCCACGTCTGAAAAGCATGCCAGAAAAAATGTAAGCTGTCTCAGAGGCATGGTACCTTTGGGAGGCTCTATTCTTCTTGCATAATCTGAGGAAAGCTTGATTGATATACAACTGAAATTACACAGCTTGATCCCATTGTTTCTAGCAAAGGAGAACTTGTCCATAAAGTGGTGTGCCACCTCGCCCAGCTGAGAGAGACCATGTCTTAAAAAACAGAAAACAGGCTGGAGAGATGGCTCAGTGGTTAAGAACACTGACTGTACTTGCAGAAGACCTGGGTTCGAATACCAGCACCCACATAGCAGCTAACAACTGTCCGTAACTCCAGTTCCAGGGGATCCGACAGCCTCTTCTGTCCTCTGTGGGCACTGCATGACATGGGTGCACTTACCTACATGCAGGCAATACACTCATACACATAAAAATAATAAATAAAAATAATAAAATGTTTTTAAAAAAACAGAAAACGATCTGGGTGTGTTGCATGCCTTTAATCCCTGCATTTGGGAGACATTCAGCAGGCAGAAGCAGGTAGGTCTCTGTGAGTTCAAGGCCAGCCTGGTCTATAGTGAATGCCAGACCAGCTTGGGCTACAGGGAGACCCTGTCTCAAAAAGACAAAAAAAACGTAAAAACAAACAAACAAGCAAAAAACAGAAAACAAGAAAAGAAAACCAAGGGGAGTGAGATGGCTCAGCAGGTTAAGATGCTTCTGACCAAGCCTGATGACCTGAGTATGCCATGGCATGTACATACATGAGTATATACACACACACACACACATACAGAGACAGAGACAGAGAGATCCAAAGGTTGGGCCTTCCAGCAATCCAACTTGCCTTGAACAGTAATCACATAAGCCATGCAGAAGAGAGTGTTTTATCAAATCCAGCAACCCTCTAAAACGGTAAAGAAATTCATAGTCCATACATAGACACCTCAGAGAAACTTTTCAAGCTATGGTGGGACAAAGAAGTAGTAACTTGATGTTAAGTTTGTGGTAGGAGCAAAGAAATATGAAATACATTTTCTTAGCATATAAAACCAGCACTCTCGAAGGCTTCCTTCATGCCTAAGAAAGACTTGCTGTGAGTCTAAAGATACTAGACAAATGTGTATGTTGAGCCATTAGTGCAGATGAAAGGTTTTTGAGGTCATCAAAGTGTGTGTCAGTTTATTTTCGTGTATGGCAAGGCTCTCCTTGTCTGAAAAGTGCATCTGACTCCATGAAAGCAAACCCTGACAAATCCAGGAGGCATCGTTCACCAGCCACCAGCTTTGTTTCCTAAGAGCTAAGGAGCCCTTGAGGGACTACAGAGTGTGTTCACTGGGAAAGGAGGAGTTAGTCATTTTTAAAATGCTTAAAAATCACTTTATTTGTAGAACATTCTCTTTTGTTGTTGACATCTTAATGTACTGTAATTTGAAATTTTTGCATGTTGAGTGAGCAGAGCACAAGCACTCCACAACAGTGAGAATAAGTGCTCTGTAAATGTGCTATAAATCAATATGTGATGCAAGAATGCACAATAGTGGCTCTGAGCACTTACTGTGCCTTAGTAGCAGTAAGAATGGGTTTTAAAAGATCAGAAAGGTACTAAACAAGAGTACTCATTTTAAGTATATTCTCTAGTTCCTTATTCAGTGGGGTGCTATTCCAAACAATGAAATCCATGCTAATTAAAGCTATATGTGTTTAAACCTCAACCTCAAGGAGTTAACGTCCTGTTTGTAAGAATGGACCAAAACCCAAAGGAAAACCATAAGCCATATGGTTTATAAATATAAAAATCTCTGCATCTCTTTAAAAACAATTTTGTGCACAATTGAACTCTTTCAAATCTAATGGGTAAGCACTAAATACTACAAGTAAAAGCATTTTCTTGGTACATAGGGTCTAATTAGAAAAAGAATATTCTAGAAATTGTAGGGAAGAAGGGAATAATGTGTTAGAAGAGGTGATTTTCCCCTTGTTTTCTAAGATAAACCTTAGCATTTGACACATAAAGTTTAGAAAGGTTAAAAATGAATGTGTGCTTTCTCAGGATGGACTTTTCTTTCTTCTGGCATTCTCTGAGTCCTGCACACTAGACCACAATGAAATAAGTAGATCTTTTTTAACATAAATCACATAAAGGAAGTTAATCTAGAAGTATTACTATCTTGCAGATCATCTCTGCAAGTATCTAACATGGAATCTGCACAGGCCTCCACCCAGCATCTTTGGTCCAGCTGCTGAATGATATAGGTTTCCAAGCCTCTTTTCTAACCTCATGTTAAAATTATCATCTTGGTTACAAGCTAGCTGCCTTAGCTCCTTAACCACAAAAATCAAAAAGCAAGCATGAAGGGCTGAGAGCCTCTCTATCTCTCTGTCTCTGTCTCTCTCTGTCTCTGTCTCTCTCCTGAGACTTTGCCTATTGGCCTTGGGGCTGGGACTGTACTCATCTCTCTTGATCTCTCTTGGGTGTCTATGGCCTTGTTGCCTACATGATAGATTCTGGACTTGTTATCTACCACAACTTCAGTTCCTTATTATTTCTCTCTATACTTACATACATATATATAGGCACACACATGAACATATACATGCATGTATACACACAAACATATACATATAAATACGTATACATGGATATATAGAAGCTTGTATGTGTATGCATGTGTGTATGCAGATGTATGTGCATGTGTGTACACATATGTGCATGTGCTCAT